AATTAATTGCTCTTCAGACTTTAACCTACTATAGTTTGAAACACCATAGCAATTACCTGTCCATTTCTGATTGGAACATCAGAAGAGATGAAAAATCCATAGGCTTCCAGAAACAGTTATAAGCATGACAGATTCTAAAAGCACAGATGATTTAGAGCCACAAAGACAGTTTTCTCTTCAGCAAGTACACGTGCTCCAGGAACAGCTTTGTTTTAATTGTCCACACTCTACAGAGCCCTCAGAGGCTGCTGTTGTAAAAGCATCTTACCTTTTTCTGGTTTTCACTTCTCCAAAATGTCAGCTATAGTCTGAGGAGCAAGTCTTGTATCTCAGGCAATGGTAACCCATTCTGCTAGAACCAAATCAAAAGAAACAAACCTTATCTTGTCCCTGAAGTTCTGCATTTGGTGATCATGATGAATTGAACTGATAGGCAAATAAAAGAGCAAAGCAATGACATTATTCAATAGTTTTCTTCACATGCATAGAAAACATCATAGGAGAAATCATGAAACCTGCCTTAGTTAGGGTTTGCAATCGCTGTGAAGAGACACCATGACCACAACAACTCTTACAAAGAAAATGTTTAATTGAGGTGGCTCGCTTACAGTTTCAGAGGTTCAGTTCATTATCATGAGGATGGGGAACATGGCATCACACAGGCAGATGTGGTGCTGGAGAAGAGAGCCTTACATCTTGAATCAGAGGCAACAGGAAGTTGACTTACTGTCACACTGAGGAAAGCTTAAGAGACCTCGAAGCTGCCCCCATAGTGACACACTTCCTCCAACAAGTTCACACCTCCTAATAGTGCCACTCCTTTTGGTGGCCATTTTCTTTCAAACTACCACAAAACATAGAGCAGTAGTTTTCAACCTTCCTAATGCTGTGACCCTTTAATACAGTTCCTCTTGCTGTGGTGACCTCCATCCATAAAATTGTTTTTGTTGCTATTTCATAACTGTAAGTTTGCTAGTGTTATGAGTCATAATGTAAATGTTTTTGGAGATCGAGGCTTGCTGAAGGGATTCGTAATTGCAGCTTTAAAGAAATATCTACAACCAAGATGCTAATAAGCTTTTAAAGCAAAGACTATTTATGTAGAATAAGTGAGACCAGTGAAAACTTCTAGAGGAAGTAATATGTAGGGACGTGACCAGGAGACATATGTAGAAACCAGTTGACAATATGGGTTATGTAGTAAGTTTACTAGCACTGAGTCATTTTAACAGCCACCCAGTGCCTAGTTATGAGATGTATTCTTAGTATAAAGAGGCCACCCTCTATACAGTGGCAAGTTTGCTCTGGAATGGATCAGAAAACCCTTCTCTTCTATGTATTTGATTAATCCTCATTAGCTTAAAACACCACCACTGTGTTTTAGGGTGGTATATTATGAATATCTTCACACAGTCATTATCCCCAGGAATTTATATACATTCTCATAAAATCATAAGGAACTTATGCATATAGTTATTTATAATCCATATTTTGAAATTAAAGATGAAAGGGCAAAAATGTCTGAAATGAGGCAAAGTTATACATCTAGGTAAGGGGACTTTGAGACTGAGCCAGAAAATTCAGTTGCTTAGTGCAGTGCAGATATTACATACATTAGTTAAGGAATACTCAGACAGGTAAGAATTATTTACTGATTGTTGAAGAGATAAAGTTGAAGGCAATAAATCATTTTTCTATGGAAAATTAGAGGGTGTCCTTAAAGAAAAGATTTATTTATTATGTTATACAGTGTTCTAATTCCATGTATCCCTGCAGGCTAGAGGAGGGCACAAGGTCTTATTACAGATGGTTGTGAGCCACCATGTGTTTGCTGGGATTGAACTCAGGGCCTCTAGAAAAACAGCCAGTGCTCTTAAGCTCTGAGCCATCTCTCCAGCCTGAGAGTGGCCTTTTTTTAAGGATTGAAATTCAAATGGTCCAGGTTCCAAAAGTCTTGCATATCAAACTGGTTCATACAATTTGGTGTGTGTCTATCAAAGTGGATTATATCACTGTACTCAGTATATAAAAAATCAATATGTGATTATAATGTTGCACATAGTTGCAATTTACATCCCTAGTTCCTGCTTCCTATTTTTTATTTTTTTCATCTAGTACAAGAACATTTTTATTCCTCCAGGTTGGTAATAGAAACCAATTTTTCTGGACTTTGCTTTTTAGTGGGTCATATACTCTCTGAATTCTACTTCTTTGATAGAGAAACATAAAGAGTCCTTTTCCAAAGGTGTTCTAGCAAGTGTGATGGGAGGTGTCCCACAAAAGATGAAAGGAAATGGAAGGCCTTGACACCAGTATTAGCTTGTTTCTTTTTTGTATAACCTCGTTTCACATAATGATCAATATATACATATATATATACATACACATATATGTATGTATATATATACATGTATATATGTATATATTGTTCCCGTGCAAGAGCATCACTGTCAACATCCATAAGCACAGAATTTGGGAGTTCTCAGGTCAAAGATCATGGGAAGATTCCTGGATGGGGTTTCTCCTGGGCAAGGCATGCAGCTCTGTCCTCCTTCTCTCACACTGTGTCTCTCCACTCTTCTCCTTTGCAGCATCTACGACGACAATCCACTAAACCTGTTTCCCAGAATTCTGCGTTTAAGGAAATCAATGAGATACAAAGGGGGCCACGGGAGAGTTAGTGCATATACAGCTGATCAAAATCACCTGTACTTAATGACTGCCTCCTGATGCGGGGAAGAGGAATTCTATTCTGATCTGTGAGCTCGTGAGCACTGTCTCTGTGAAGACAGGGTCAGAGTTAGACTGGATTTGGGGTCTTTTGTAGAATTCATTGTTTATAGAGGAAGAGAACCTTTCACACTTTTTTTGAGATCACAGAAATCTGTTAGATGTGGTGTGAGAGCAGAGAATAACAGATTTCTCCCCTGACACGGGATAACTAAAAGAGTGTCCATGTAATTACACTCTTTATCTTTTGCCCTGCCATTCTGGTTTTTCACACTTTATCCTATTCTCCTAGCTTATCCTTACTTTACTTCAGTCAACTTCAGTTGCTGTTTTTCACACATATCCATTATAGCTATAAAACTGAATTTGTGGCAGGTAGATAACTGATAGTTGTAACTTTGAAGTTTGAAAAAAGTGCCAGGTGTAGGGCTAACCATCACTTTCTCAGATCACCATGTGTATAATTAATCTTCATTGTGCCTTCATAATATCTAATGACCTTCTAATTAGATTTATCCAGAATTGTTCTCAGCTTCAGGGGCTGATTGAACACTCCTATAGAAGAAGTTACTTCTCTGTCCTATTGCGTATCAACATTAGACATATGACAATTATTGAGGGTAAAACAACAGCAAATTATCAGGCTCTTGTGGGCAGGATTAAGGTACAATTTAATTACTGCAGAGTTCCCTTTGTTCCTACCTCAGACCGTTGCATTGCTGTTACACTTCAGTTTGTCATCAGTAAGAATGACAACATAGTCTTGCTTTTGAAATAGTATTTAAAGATCAGAATTCCTATCTTATTATTTATTTAACAAGACTAGAGACAATCTATATACAGTAGTTTGTTAACTTTAATAGTGAGAGGACATTACTGTAAAATTTGATTCAGCAGTGTTCTAAGGTGTTCTTACACTTAATTGAATTGTTACCTGTAGAAGAAAGTGATTTTTTCTTTCTTTCATACTGTCCCTGTATTTTTCACACAGTCCCTATATGAAAAATACATTTAGTACAGGAAAACTACCAATTAAGTAGGAAGAAAGACAAAATTTCAAGCAAGGATAGTTATACACAAATAATCCCAGGTATTTGGGGTATTCAGGAAGAAGGATACTTAACAGTACCACGACCTAATAAATAAGCCAACAAACAAACAAATGAATTACTGGATATATATAACTCATTTCAGTGTTTGCTTAGCATATACAAGGTCTTAGGGTCAGTTCCCAATACCACCCTCACATTTACACACACACACACACACACACACACACACACACACACACACACGAATTACAAAATTGAAAAATATTTTCAAGTTCTTTGACAAGCTTGCAAAATTTGGCAAATCATGACAAAGTGGTTTTTTCACAACCAATACATATAGATTTATATACATCCAACTTGTATTTTTCTTTTCTTTTTTTATTTATAAGACAACTAACAACTTGTATTTTTCTAAAGTGTTCATAGATACTGTTAGTATTCAGGCATATGTACTTGGGGTTCTGATGGGATATGTCCTCAGCTGCAACCACTAAGAGCACCACCTGTGCACATTCACTATGTTCACTTCTAAAAGGGCCCTGACCACCTCCCATCCTTCTCTTTTTCTTTCTCTCCCTCTCTCTGTCTGTTCCCCCCTTCTCTCTCTCCCCTCTTTCCTCTCTCCTGCTGCTTCTGTCCCCAGAGGCTGGTCTTACCCCTTCCCTTTCCCCTTTTTATGATCCTTTTCCTTAGTAAAAAAATCCCTCTTCTTGAACCCTGTCTCATGCATGGCATCTCTCTCTCCCATGATGCTTTTCTTAAATTAGAACAGATATAGCATCCTATATACTTTGGAATTAACTAAGACAAATAATTACATCCAGTTTTCTTTGGGATCTGGAATGATTTTTGAAGGTTAACTAAATGCTGATACAGAATTTGTTATCAAACATAAAAGAAAAAAAATCTTATTGCTTTAACCACAATAGTAGGTATTCTATCTTTTGAATTCATTAAGTTCTCTGCACAAAACATTGAGGACTTGGTAGAGCTCTCATGGCTACAGTAAATTCCATATTTGCTTTTTTTTCAGTTCTGGATGATTGAACTTGCTGCAAAATAGTCCTGAAATGTGACACAAGAAGAATAATCTTCAACGTAAAGCAGTCACCATACTGTCAACTGTCAGGGTGACTTCATGTCACTATCTTTCTCATCTTTTGCATCAAATAGTGGACAAACCTAAGTGTTTAAGAAGAAATAAGTATTTACCCAGTAATTACTCTCAGCAATGGGAGGGTTACCATTTAAGCACCTCTTTTATGGGAGCTTTGTTGAGTGTAGGGGGGCATTCCAGAAAGGGTTAATAATCCTCCTTCTGATTCCATGTTCTTTGACTGTGGATTATAGGGCAGGGCCACTTATACCAAATGAGACTTTAATTTGGGTCTGGAATGTTCCAACTGAACCTTGTATTGGAAACTTTAGTCACTCAATAGATCTGAGTTTCTTCCCTTTAATTGGAAGTCCCCGAAAAACTTCCACAGGGCAGCCTGTTACGCTATTTTATGTTGATCGACTAGGCCTCTATCCTCACATAGATGCAAAACAAGTAGATCATCATGGAGGAATTCCTCAGTTAGGGAATTTGCAAGATCATCTGGCCAAAGCTAGGACTGACATTGAGCATTACATTCCAGTAGACAAACTAGGCTTAGCTGTCATTGACTGGGAAGAATGGAGGCCCACCTGGTTGAGAAACTGGAGACCCAAGGATAACTACAGGAATAAGTCTATTGACTTGGTCCAGGCAAATAATGCAGGAATTAGTATGGCAGACGCCACCAAGAAAGCCAAAGAGGAATTTGAGGCTGCAGGAAGAAAGTTCATGGAAGAGACTTTAAAACTGGGGAAATCAGTTCGACCAAAACACTTATGGGGCTATTATCTGTTTCCTGATTGTTATAACAATAAATTTCAAGACCCAAAGTATGATGGCAAATGCCCTGCTGTGGAAAAGCAAAGAAATGATGCTCTTAACTGGATGTGGAAAGAAAGCACGGGGCTTTACCCGTCTGTCTATTTGAAGAAAGACTTGAGATCGAATCGACAAGCTGCACTCTATGTCCGATACCGAGTAGTGGAATCCATCAGAGTGTCCAAAGTTCCGAGTGAAAAAAATCCTGTCCCGATTTTTGTCTATATTCGTGTTGTTTTTACTGATAACACTTCTGAATACCTTCAGGAGGTAAATAAATGGTATATAGCATCTCTGACCTAGTGTCCATAGTGGTTACTGGAAATTAATGTTATTTTTAAAGGACATGTAATTCAACTTCATATATAACTTAAGTATATACACAGGGCAAGTTCTATGTTTTCCAAAAGAGATAAAGTTGCTACAATTTTAGTTCTTATTGTAATCATATGACCTGTTAGCTACCACAGAGAATCTTAACATATAGACAATATTTTAACTTTTACTTTTATTTTGTGGATATTTCCAGAATAAGTAATGGCAACATGTCTTTTTCAATAATAAAGAAATGCCATAGTAAAAGATTTGGAGAATGTAGAAAAATTTTAAGTATTATTGTTGGGTCAGCTTGTTTAGTTTATTGGTGTTGACCTGTGTAAATGCTTCCATTTATCCCTCCTTGCTAACTCTTTGTATCATCTTTGGCAGGTGGACCTTGTCAATACAATTGGTGAAATTGTTGCTCTGGGTCCGGCAGGGATTATAATATGGGATTCAATTACTTTAGCACAACGTGCGGTAAGTTGACTTGGTAGGAAATAGAAAGTAGTTCTATCATTAATGTTTTTTTTTTTTTTGAAGACTTGGTGTTAAGGAAGTTAGTAGGATGCATGGCAAACAGTAGGGCTCAGTATTTGCTGAATCAAGCTGTGTTGCATCTTTTATTTTGAAGTAGAAAATGTAGTACCTATCTTCCAGTGAGGAATCAGTCAGTGAATTAACCAAAGTTCTTTAGGCTCCATGGACTGTAAGTAGGACTACCATTTCAGTTTTCTGACATGATGTTTAGTGTCAGACAACAGGTATCTATGATTTATCTATTTCTCCATATAATGTATTTGTCCCCATTTCCACAGTACACTTGAGTGTGTGTGTGTGTGTGTGTGTGTGTGTGTGTGTGTATGTGAGAGAGAGAGAGAGAGAGAGAGAGAGAGAGAGAGAGAGAGAGAGAGAGAGAGAGAGAGGAGAGCAAGAGAGAGAAAGAGAGAGGGAATAAAAAACATTGTTAACATGAAGCTACTATATAGGCCTTGGACAAAATAGCAAAATACTTCTTTTAAAAGTTTTTAAAACAGATGTATTTCATGGTCCTCTGACCCTTCCTGTTTTGTGTGTTATTATTATTTTTAGTTTGATCAATAGAAAGTAATTAACAGAAAATGCAAGTCAGGGATGGGTATGTGTCTCTTGGTAAAATCTTTTGAGTCACAGAAAATTATCTTAAAATTATAATCTTCCAAGGTATATCCCAAGCTCTTGTTTCTGTTCTTTCAAAGCTATAAATGCCTTTCTCAAGGATATTAACTTAGTGATGGGTCCATTTGTGATTTCTGTATACTACCTCCTTGAAAAAAATAAAATAATTGAGACCTCCTTCCTTCCTCAAAGGAGAAACCAATCAACAGAGAGTAGGATAGGGGGACATGTTTTTAGCTGTCATATTGGTTTTTAGTGTCACTTTAATCTTAGCTGTTCATTGTTTACTATTCCTCCCAAAGATCTGCAGTATGATTCATGCAGGAATACACTGCAGTATCACTATTTTCTATTTTAGGGACTGTCTTGACGTTGTTCTCTATAGATCTTTTCTACATATTTCTGCTTCTTCTCCCAAATTTATGATCATTTTTTTAGTGTTATCACCCCTAAATGCAAGTGTAGTGTGTGTGTGTGTGTGTGTGTGTGTGTGTGTGTGTGTGTGTGTGTGTGTGTAAACAGAGGCAAGATCTTATCTTCTTTAATTGTTCCCTACTTTATCTCTAGGAGGGAGTTACACAGAACCTGGATCCAGCAGTTTTGCAAGACTGTCTGGTCAGCAATATTTAAGGATTCTCTAGTGTCTACTTCCCTAGTGAGGGGCTTAAATGCAATGACACTGTGGCTGCCTATTGAAGTAGGTTTGGGGATGAAATTCAGATAATTACACTTGCAGAGAAAACATTTTATAGACTAAGCCATTTCCCTAGTTAGCTCCTTTCCCATTGTCATGGTAATCAGTTATTTTCTTTTTTCAGTTGCCACAACTTTCCATAAAAAGTTTCAAGTAAGCTATTTACTATCACTCCACTTTATTTACCCAGTGGTGTGAAGAAGCCAGCTCTATCAGTTCTACGTTATGAAACTTTTTTTTTTTTAATATTCAGGAAATTTGTGAGCCTGTTGTAAAACACAGTTAGTATTAAAATTAAGGGATAGAAAGGTACAATAAGATAAATTGTGTTAAAACCCAAAATAACTAATGCTCAACACACTTCATGTGCATCTTAATGCCTCAGGTTGTGTATTTGGTGTATCTGCATGAGTAGAACAGTTCACATGCTCATGCATGTACTCAGGTCCAACTATGAATTTAGTTCTATTGATTAGTAATGTGAAATTGGCCATTGTATGTATAATTCTACAGTATCTCTTAGATTTCCAGTTTAAATCTTTTTGTAGTGTACAAATAAAATGATTATCAAATCATCCTCATTTCGCTAGTCTGAATTTTGCCTAACTCTTGCCATCTTCTTTATCTGATGGGTTTTTGATGAGGGTTATTTCCGTCTTATATAAGTTTTGGGTTTTTTTTAAGTCCTACGCTTTCATTCTGTTATAGAGTTAGTAGTAGTGATTCATTGTGTTTTTATTATTTATAACTATATTTCTACCTCCCCTTTCCTCCCTGAAAATCCTCCCAAACACCCTACTCTCTGTCAAATTAATGGCTCCTTTTTCATTAATTGTTATTACATACTTATGTGTATATGCATATCTATTTCCAAATATAACTCAGTCCATATAATGTTACTTGTATGTATGTTTTCAGAGTCCAATGTAGCTTTTTTTTTGGTTATTAATTTGCTATGTATCTGAGAATAATCTTGAACTCATGATCCTCTGGAGTCTCTTGGGATGACTGTAATATGTCTTATACTTTTATCTTATGGCCTCTGCCCATGTCATCTATGTGCAAAGTTGGAAAAGTTTATACATTTACAAGATATTGTCTCATTATATTAAGTTATCCTGGACAACTCAAGATAATCATCCCTTGTCAAACAACATTATCCATTCATATCTACAGTGTCTTTTATTGTAAATTCACATAGTCACAGTCTGTATGGACCAGAAAGCAGACACTTTTGCCAGGCAATTAATGACTCAACGATAGAGTTTCAACACAAGGAAAATTCAAGAGTAGATTCATGTCAGAGCTGCCAAGATTCCCTGCCATTTTTGCCAATGTGCTACCACAGTCAGCCCATTCAGTCGAACTGTTGTTGATCATGAGAGATCACGACTGTCTTCAATTTGTTTTCAAGGCCAATGTCCAAGTTTTAGAACACAGTACTGTTAAGATGGATCACTTCTGCTCCTAATCACTCTAGTCTACAGTTTGTCTAAGGATTGTCATTATACACATGGTTGACTATGTATCATTTGAGCCATCAGTTTTGTAATATATTTAATGATGTTTAAGCTCATCAGACAAATAGAATTCTCATTCCATCTTTTTGTGATTTATTGATATATATATATCTTCAAAATAAGTCTATGATGCAAGGCTCCAAAACCATCCCTAATTTAAGAGTGATGAAACAGAAGCATAACTAATTTTCCTGATGTGACCCAGATTTTAAACTAAGATTTAGAAAGCTTGGGTTTCTAAAGACCATAAAGATATGGTCTTTAATGAAGGTGGTACTCCTATTGACCAAGCTAGCCTCAAAACCTGTCTACATCTACAACGTGCTAGTCTCTTGAATTTATGAATTATTGTGGAAAATGAAGGCTAGGATAAATTGAGCCTCAATTAAACATGTCTTCATTGACCTGATAAACTTATAGATTACAAAAACTGTTAGAATAACTTTGCTTGTTAAAAAGATTATTTCTTACTACTAGTTCAGTCTGATGCTTCTTTCTTCCTAAGAATTTTTTTCTATAGTCTATCTTTTCATGCAGGAAGTTGTGCCTTGTTATGCTGATTGTGTTATTATTTTACAGCCAGGTTGCCCGATCCTACATAAATACTTGAAGACAACCCTGAATCCATACATAATCAATGTCACCCTAGCAGCCAAAATGTGCAGCCAAACACTTTGTGAGGAGAAAGGCGTATGTTCAAAGAAAAATGAAAGTTCAGATGTTTATCTTCACTTGAACCCAAGTCATTTTTATATCGAATTAATGAAAAATGGAAAGTATGAAGTCCATGGCCGCCCCAGTGTTGGAGACCTGAGGTTTTTTCACGAACATTTTCAATGCAGCTGTTTTGCTAACATGACGTGTGAGGAGAGATCTGATATAGAATACGTAGGAAATGTTAATGTGTGCACGGGTAACGATGTTTGTATAAAGGCCGAAGTAGACCCCAACCTAGCATCCTACCTCCTACCTGGCAAAAGCCTCCTCTTTCTGATAGCACTCACACAAATACTGGATCATATGCCAGAAGATATATTTTTGTTTTTCTGGAGAAAATGCTAGTTGGTGCTCCTTAATTCTCTCTACCCACAGCCTTCAATTTTTTTTTTAAACAGGCCTCAGTGACTTGAAAATGTAAAATGGGATTCTATTTTGCAATCATAATTCTATTTTAATAAACAAGATTCTATTTTTGAGTTTCAAAGGCAAAGTATCTATTCTACCAAAGTCTGATTGCAAGCAAGGCTGCTGCATTTGGAGATTAGGTTTTGTATAAAGAGAATGAAGACTAAAGAAAATAAAATTACTATGAATTCATCTCTTTTTAGTAGTCTGTCATTGCTTAAAGATGATCAAACAAATATTAAGATGAAAGCTTCTGCTGTTTAAAATGGAATGTAGCCACCTCATGTCGAAAAAATATAACTGTTTCATAAAGCTCAACTCCAAAAATGGTAATTCTGTTTTTGTATATACTTTAGTGTATTTTCAGAACTCATGTTTATAAAGTACTCTAATTTTCTTTTCATTCCTGATTGTCAAGCTTAATTTGTGTACCTGAAATGACTTATTTCATCAATCATTCACCTACTATATGGAGTATTTGCGGAGTGTTACCACTCAGAACTGCTGGGATGGTATTAGTAAATTAACTTTCAAACATTGCATTCCAGTAAATGATTACAATAATGGTGAGTGAGAAGTGTTCCACAACAACTGGGCTTTGTAAAATTCTGCAGCCTCAGTTCATCTGATTGTAAACATGATAGCTGAAATGACATCTCATATCTTATCATCTTCTTTTTTAAATAGCAATTTATTTGTATTTGTAAATGTCAGTATTAATATTCACTGTTACCAAATCTAAACGAGGTAGCGCCTTCTTACTATCAGTGAGTTTGCTGTTTATTTGAAGATGAAAGAAATGAATGCTGAAAAGACAGCATGGTGCATTTTCCATGCTACGACACGTTTAAAGTCCTCTGATATGCAAGTAAGAATTTTGGTGTTGTCTGAGATTCCTGAAAGAGGTGATGTCAGATTATTTTAGAGGGTTAACAGTCACCGGATCAGAGAGCAAGAACTTTAGAAAGAGGAGGCATGGGATGCACTGTTAAGTGTGGTGAAAAGCAAATGACTAAATGGTGCAACTTTTGTGAATCACATTGAGAATTTGGGACTTTACATGGAACATAGTTCCACTTCCTTAGGTGAGTCCGTTTCCCTGGTCTCACACACAATAACATGATGTACTATTTTTTTACCCTTCACCGCTGTCCTATATTATAAGCATCACAAAGACAAGGGTGTGACCTACTTATTACAACTATAGCTATATTGTGACAAATAGTACCTGGGACCTCAGATTAGCCCCCTGAACACTGAGTAATTAAAAGCTAATGGGGGCTTAGCATACGATTTTGAATTTGGGAATATGGTCATGGCCAGTTTACATGATATGAAGCTGTAGCATGCACTGCTGTTATGAGCGTAGGACAGACCCAGATCCCATTTTCAAACTTATATGTTTATCAATTTAGTTATTGAAAAGAAAGGATTTGGTGACTGGGAATAGACAGGATATACCAACTGGTTTATCAGAATGAGAAGTAGGATGGAGTTGCAAAAACAGTACAAATAATCCAATTTTTTAAAAATTGAAAATAGATTCTCTCATAAAATACACTTCACCCCAGTTTCTCCCTCCCTCCAATCCTCCTACATCTCCCTTACTTCTCCTTTCTCCCAGATCCATAGCCCCTTCTGTTTATTTTCTGGAAAACATCAGGTCTCTAAGAGACAACAGCCAAACAGGACAAAAGAAGTTAGAATAAGACAAAGTGAAAGCCCTCATAGTGAGGCTGGACAAGGCAACCCAATAGGAAGAAAAGCATTGCAGGAGAAGGCAAAAAAGTTGGAGATACACGCGCTCTTACTGCCAGGCGTCCCGAGCTAACAACTCTAACAAATATGCAATGAGCCTGGTGTTTGTCACTTCAGTGTATGTGAGTCGGTGTGATTCAGTGGGCCACATTCTCCCGGTGTCCTCCATCCTCTCACACTCCTACAGTCTCACCCCTCACTTCTCTGGGGTTCCACTATCTCCGAGGGGAGGGGCCTGATGGAGACTGCTAATTATCCTTTCTCTCTCTGCATAGTGTCTGTCTATGGGTCTCTGCATCTGTCCCTACTTGTTGCTGGAGGAATCCTCTATGATGACAATTGGTCAGTTAGCAGAATATTGTTAAGAATAATTTCACTGATTTGCTTTTCTTTTAAAGACCACTTACTTGTGTTTGGTTCTGCCCTAGGGTTTTGGGCTAGCCAGTCTCTGGTTTCTTGTCCCCAAGGAAGCATAGGGTATGTATGGGCTGCCTAGGGGACCAGCCTCTAGTAGCTAAGTGCTGGGAAGAAATCCACAGAGTGGGAGCATACTCTGACTTTTTTATATGAGGGGGTTAAGGGAAAAGAAACACTCTCTTTTGATGGTCTCCTTTATTCTCCTGTGTTCTTCTGATGTATACTTCTTTCTTGCAGCTTATGTTATATTCAAGAAATATAGGAGTTACGGTATAGTTATATTCTATTTTCCAAGTGAATGATTATAATGAATACAGGTAAAAACATGTTTTTCATTCCCCTTACATGATTAAAACAAAGTCATCCCAAGAATACACATAAACTTAATGTAAGTTACTTGTTAGAAATTAACAGAATATGAGCAGAGAGTATTTTTTCTCAGCCAATTCTTTTGTTGGCAGGCTGCATATTACAGTTACAAGGAAAGAAATCGATTACTTTATTGCTTATCTTGAAAGGTAATCTTATAAGGAATCTTAAGGGAATCACAGACCTAAACTTTTATACATGAAAAACAGTATACTCTAAATCTATATGGTGCAGATCCATTCATCAATAGATTTTTATATCAGGAGGTTGAGGGCAGAACTGGGTATACAGAATTAATCATCACCTTTGGTCATCAACCAATTCTAGCAAGAAAGGCACATGAGCTAATGATAATTGGGCTGCTTTGTTCTTGTCTCCTGCCTGATCTTCACTCAACTATGTGCTTTTCTAAAACTTTAGATTGTCTTCTTGGGTTTTTCACTTCAAAGACATTTAACAAAAACATCTTAGCCTAACTTTAAGTTATTTTCAAAGCTTTGTTTCAGCTGTGATGCAATCGAAAACCTGTGAACACATCTCCCAACACTAACATGAAAAGATTGTAAGCTAGCTGGGCTACTGAGACTCAATTGTTTATATATATATATATATATATATATATATATATATATATATATATATAATTTTTAAATTTAAATTAAAAACAAGCGTGTTTACACATTATTCCTAGTTCAGTTCCCGCACCCTCCTGTCCTCCCTTGTTCTCCCCAACCAACTCCCATCCCATCCCATTTCTGCTCCCCAGGGAGGATGAGGTCTTCTATGGGGAATCTTCAAAGTCTGTCATATCATTGAGGGAGGGCCTGGGCTGAGTGTCTAGGCTGAGGGATTATCCCTCTAAGTGGAATGGGTTCCCAAAGTCCATTCATATACTAGGGATAAATTCTGATCCACTAACAGAGGCCCCATAGACTTCCCAGGACTCCTAATTAACACCTGTGTTCAGGAGGTCTGGGATGGTCCTAAGCTGGTTTCCCAACTATCAGACTGGGGTCCATGAGCTCCCCCTTTTTCAGGCCAGCAGTTTCTAAGGGTTTCTCCAGCCTGGTCTTGACTCCATTATTTATCACTCCTCCCTGTCTGCAACTAGATTTCAAGAGTTCTGCTGAGTATGTCTGCTTTCTGCTTCCATCAGCTACTAGATGAAGGCTCTAAGATGGCATTATAAGGTAGTCATCAATCTTATTATTGGGGAAGGACATTTAAGGTAGCCTCTCTACTAATGCTTAGAGTGTTAGTTGGGGTCATCCTTGTAGGTCTCTGGACATTTCCCTAGTGCCAGATTTTTCTTAAAACCTATTATGGTATCGCTTTTCTTGCTCTACTCTATTCTTTCCCTGACTCAATCTTCCTGCTCTGTCATGCCCACCTCTGTCCTACTCTTCCCCTTAACTCCCTCCTTTCTCCCCCCATGCTCCCAATTTGCTCAGGAGATCTTGTCCCTTTTCCCTTCTCCAGGGGGCCATGTATGTCTCTCTCCCATTCCTCCTTGTTTCCTAACTTTTCTGACAGTGTGGATTGTAGGCTGGTGATCCTTTGCTCTATATCTCAAATACATATATGAGTGAGTACATACCATGTTTGTCTTTTTGTGACTGGGTTACTTCACTCAGGATTGTTTCTTATAGTTCCACCCATTTTCCTGTGAATTTAAAGATTTCAATTTTTTTTTCCCACTGACTAGTACTGGATTGTGTAAATGTACAACATTTTCTCCCTTCATTCTTCAGTTGAGGGGCATTTAGGTTGCTTCCAGGTTCTTGCTACTACAAATAATGCTGCTATGAACATAGTTGAACAGATGTCCTTGTTGTATGAATGTACATCTTTTGGGTATATGCCCAAGAGTGGAATTGCTGGATCTTGCAGTAGACTGATTCTCATTTTTCTGAGGAACCACCATACTGATTTCCAAAGTGGCTGTACAAGTTTGCACTCCCACCAGCAGTGGAGGAGTGCACCCCTTTCTCTACATCCTCTCCAGCATAAACTGTCTTTGGTATTTTTGATTTTAGCCATTTTGATGAGAGTAAGATGGTATCTCAGAGTTTTGATTTACATTTGCCTGATGGCTATAGATGCTGAGCACTTTCATAAGTGTGTTTTAGCCATTATTTACACTCCTCTATTGAGAATTCTCCATAATTGGAATATTTGGTGTTTTGGCAACCAGCTTCTTGAGTTCTTTTTATATGTTGGAGATCAGCCCTCTGTCAGATGCGGGGTTGGTGAACATCTTTTTCCCATTCTGTGGGCTGCTGTTTTGTCTTATTGACTGTGTTCTTTGCCTAACAGAAGCTTCTCAGTTTCAGCAGGTCCCATTTAATAATTGATGATCTCAGTGCCTGTGCTACTGGTGTTATGCTCAGGAAGTGGTCTCTTGTACCAATTGGTTCAAGGGTACCTTCCATTTTCTTTTCTAAGAGATTCAGTGTAGCTGGATTTATGTTGAGGTCTTTGATCCATTTGGACTTAAGTTTTGTGCTTGGCGATAGATATGAATTTATCTGGAGTCTTCTACAGTT